CCTCCCTCCCTCCCTCCCTCCCTCCCTCCCTCCCTCCCTCCTTTCCTTCCTTCATGTGGGGGATTTCTAACCATTACCCTGTTGCAGCCTTACTCATCTTTATCCTGCTGTCTCAAGGGCCTTGTACCTAGTAAATACAGAATATTGTCTATACGGTGAGTAGGAACTGGTTCTATTTTTTACCATCTAGAGAAATGGACCTTAGTCACAAGCTCTGCCCTTCTAGGGCCTCTCAGATATACACCCCCTTGTCTGTGTGACCATACCATTCTTACTGCTACACTTGCTCTGTTGTCCCTTTCTGCTTCAGAGTTCCATTCAGTTATGAACAGGGTTGTTGTTTTTTTTTTTAATTTACATATTTAACTAAATCTAAAAGCCAGTAGGCTTTGGGGACAGCTGAACTCCCACCTCCTGATGCACCCTTGTAACTGTTTCCATCTTTTTCAGGCAATAGAATGACTCCATTCTGTTGCAGTTTCTGTCTTCTCTGTTGACATTACTGACTTGCCTTGTCCCTGCTCCTTGCTGCCCATGCTGACAATGACCTGGTATCTGGCCCAATCTTCTCCTGACACCTTTGCCCTTGTTTATTCCCCCTGCCTCTCTCTTTGGGTGCAGAACAAAGATATCTCTTTGCCAGCAGTAAAGGCAGATGAGGAGAGGGCTTCTTAGTGGCCCATGAATGCCAGTGTCTAAGCTGAGACAGCAACTGACTGCAAACCTATGCTGTTGTATAATCTCTATTGGTATAGTCTTTATTTGTGTACATATTTGCTCTTGGGATAATACAGGTATTCTCTGATTATATAATGTACTTAGAAAGTATCAGAAGTCCTGTTTTACTTCTGGCAGATCTGTTACATAGGCATAAGGCCTCATAATTTATTCACCCATTCATTTATTCAACAAATATTTATCCAGCCCCTTCCACGCCCAGGCATCATGCCAGGTATTGGATAGACTGCTTCGAACAAGCACATCAGCGTGGAGCTAATCGGCCAGTGTAGGCAAACAGTGGAGACTTGTTTGAATACATACACAAATGTGCATTGTGGGAAGTGCTGGGAGGAAAAAGGCACAAATGCGGACTAGATAGGCAGGGAAGGGTTCTCTGAGTGAGGGCACGGGAGCTGCTGGCTGACTGGGAAATGTTGGGGTGGAGCTGACCAGCAGAGCAGAGAGACCAGGGTCTAGTTGGAGGGTTTGACTTTTTCTGAATGGAAACACGGGGTGGGGGGAGTGTGAAGCTGAGAGAATGGCATGACGCAGCTGAGAATTTGCATGCTGTGGGGAGATTAGTACGCTGTTGTTCACCAGCAAACAGTGTGGTAGTAGTGGCGGTGCCAGTCCTGAGAACGGAGATTTCTGCTAGCTACAGGTTACGTTTAGCAACATTGCTATGGAAAAGCCCACCATGGTTTTTCTTTACTTAGATTGTTTTACAGAAGTCTCCTTTTGGGGGTGTTTTCACTTTCTAAAAGTAGTTGGAAATCACTTTTTTTTCCCAGTGTATTTCATAATGAAAAATATTAGTGTTTGAGTGATGGTTTGGAACATGATTGAGTGTCATTAATATGACTGCATGTCCAGGGCTGCTCTTTAGTCTGGGTCTTTACCCTCTGTATGTTGCTATGAAAAAGTAGTAAGGTTGGGTACCCTAGGAGGAGATTTGCTTGTCTCAGCTGCATCCTGGAGTCACAGTGTGGTGGAAATGCAGAAGGGGGACAGGTCAAGAGCTGTTGGGGCATGTGCCAGTGAGGAAATGGAGCAGGTGTCCTATAGCTGTTCTTCACGATGCTGGTTCTTACAGGAACTTACCCAGGCTCTTGAGACCTGACCTGCTCTGTAAGACCAGCACTCACTCATTTTGAGGGTGGTATTCGCATGGCGTCTCTTACAGATGCACCACCATTCAACATTGCTAGACCAGGCGCCAAGCTGCCAGCACTGAAGCCTTCGGGAACAGACCTCCTCTGAACCACAGCAGTGTGTTTGAGTTGGTATAGCTGTAGTAGCTGGTGCAGTTGGTGCAGGCTTCAAACTCTTCTGTGTCACTGAGTATCACGGTAGTCATGGGAAGTGGTAAAACTGGTGTCATGTTCAATGTGAGCGCATTCGCTTGAGCTAGTTTGCAGGATTCAGCGAGGCCTACTTTTTGAAGTGTGTATCTTGGTGGTACTGTGAAGCAGGGCTGGACTTGGCTTCAGGAAGAGCTGTAGTCTGTCAGTGACTGCAGACTGCTCACTGCTGAGGCTTGTAAATAGTTTGGCTTCACATAGCTTTGGTTTGGGTTTCCTTTATTGTCACTGTATTGTAATTCTTCAGGTAGTAGTGTATGGTGTTTGGTTTGCTCTGTTTGCTTTTTTTTGGTGAGACATGGTATGATGTGTAGTCCAGGTTAGCCCCAAACTCACTGTCCCCCCGCCTCAGCCTTCTGACTCAGTCACCAGAGTCTGTTCTCTATTTGATATTTTTAAGTTCAAGAATTAATAAGTGAAATTGCTATAAGAGATTTAATTAATGAGGTATTTTATGATCATTCAGGCAGCAGTGTTTTTGATAAGGCTTTTTCATGTAGATGCTATAAGTATGAATATTCTAAATCTATAAGAGAAGAAAAAGAAGTGATAAACCACAGAGCTGAATATATCTTGCTTCTCTGCCGAATACAAACCTAAAACAAATCACTTCATTTCTAGAACGAGAAACCACTTACTTCATTAAAAACGTAAGTACAAGTCAGCTTCTGAAGATTAGAGTAGCAGCTTGCAAAAGCTCTTTATTAATGAGTGTGGATAAAGCAAAGACTTGGTGTCTGAGAGGTTCCAGCATGCTGTGCAGTTCAGATGGTTTCCTGACAGAGTGTCAGGACTTCCAAAATAGTTCTCATAGGAATTGACTCCTTCAGTTTAAATGCATGGTCCCGATCATTACAAAACATACCTACTGAGGTCAAAACAAAACAAAACAAAAACAAAAACAAAAACAAAAACAAAAAAATACCCTTTAGAAAACGTTTAAAATCAAAGCAGTAAAATTTGAGTCATCAACAATGAAACTGCAAGCATTTCACATAGAGGTATAACAATTCACTTAAAACACAATTATCGAAGACTTTGGAGATGGCATGATAGCTTTTGCCCATTTCATGGAGCCGGAAGGAGTGACATCTGAAATATATTAAACTTTACTGCAGTTCTCAAGAAGAATTCAAGAAAAATGGCTTCCAGGAGCCATCCTTACAGGGAGGCCTTATGCACAGGTGATACAGGAGTGGAGGTGGTGGGAAGGGTCTCATCGGTGCTGTCTCCCTGGGGTTTTGTTTTGCCTGGATGATTTGGAAGATAAATGATCTGGAAGATAAATCGTGGAAATCTTGTAATATTTTATGTTGAAAAAAAATCACTTCATATCAAATAGAGTTAAATAGCGTGCTGAAAAACCTGGAGGTGTTTGAGGCTCCATGAGCCTATTGTGGCTTATATAAATTTAGCTCAGATGTCCTGTGAAGGCTTGAAGATTCACTTGTGCAGAGACTGTGAGGAAGCAGTTAGCCAGTTAGAGTTTTTAGTGGTTTGGCCTTAGTGGTGATAATTATGTGATATGTGAATTTTGCTTGTTTTTAGGAATAAGAAATTGTAATGGCTAACATGTACAGACTTAGTCAAGTAATTGATGACAGAACACATGTAAAACCACATAGAGTACCTAGAACCCTGACAGTGCAGCCACTTCTGATGAGAACTGATAGACTAAGATCAGAAAGAAGGAGAGGATAACCTCCCCAATCAGTGAACATGGGGAGGGGCATGCATGCAGAAAGGAGCGGGGAGGGTGGGACCGGGAGGGGAGGAAGAAGGGGCTTATGGTGTGATACAAAATGAATAAAGTGTAATTAATATTTAAAAAAAGCAATGTTCAATTAAAACTACATAGAGTGAGAGTAAGGTACTGGATCAGAATGTATTAGAGACCCAAATGTGCAAAGAAACAAAAGTACGAATTCTGGGAGAAAAATATTAATTTATCCAACAAATTATATGAACATAAACTTTATTGACTACAAATATGAGTAATGCATTAACTTTTAATAGTGTCTTTTTAAATCATTGATTCCTAGGATTTGACCAGTTTTCAGAATACTGTAGAGCGAAGGTAAAAATCTCATCCAGTAAGTAATGTGCATGGCTTGGGTGATGGTAGAAATGGCGGGTTTGAAAGTCTCAGTGTGGTTAGAACAAGACACGGTGTGTTGAATGTGTGTCAGTGAGCAGAAGAGCCTAGGAGCATCGTCTGGCCTCTCAGGGTCCATGTGTGCAGGGACTCACTCGCCTGCTTCCTGCAGGTGACTGAGCAGTGCAGGAGTCTGGCTTCTGCAGTCAAGTCCTAGCTCAGATGCTGAGGCACGTGTGCAGATACTGCAAAGAAGGGATCATGCTACCAGTTTCTAACAACTAACAGATGGAAATTAGTGGGATGACTCGATGAATGGTTGATGCCATGGCCTGCCATGCCTGACTGTAGTTTCCTAGTATTCATACTAGGAAATATGTGGGAATGTTTTTAAATATTTAAAACCAGCTTCACTTACGGTTTTAGGATTTGAAACAGTGCAATTCCTGATCGGCGCTCCTCTGTAAACTTCCCTTAAACTTCGTTCAAGGAGGTTTCGATATGTTGTGTAACATATTTTAAATTAAAACTAGAAGTCTGATTCGTGATTCCTACATTGAGTACGTACAAAGGAGTGATGGAGTGATTTAGAATGCTGGGATTTTCCTAGTTTCAGCAAGTAAAGTGTTTTGCAGAAATATTTTTTTGTGTGGTCTAATACTTGTTTCATATTTTCAAATGCTAACAACTGAGTGTGTCTGTTTTGCTGTGTAGGGTGAATAGAAGAACTCTCTTATATTTGCTTTGCTTGGTAGATGTACCCATCTGTAGGCACTTACTCTGAGGGACTTGTGACAAAGTTGCCTTTGTGGCAGGGGAGCCCTGCAGATGAAATTAAGGTGGGAACGTGGGATTAGCATGGATTACCCAGATGGGCCCAGTGTAATCACAAGGGCCCTTAGCAGCACCAGGGAGGGTTTTTGATGAATGACTTAAGATGAGGGCAGAGGAGTAAGAAGGGCTTTGAGGTAGAGGAAGAGGACCTTAAGTCGAAGAGTGCCTACATCCCCCAGATGTCAGGGACAAACGCTTGAGCCAGCCAGCAAGGAGACCATAGCTTCCTTCCTCCCACTACAGGGACTGCAGTCAACCCAGATGTCTTGGAAACAATCCTTCCTGAAACTTGCTCGTCCTTGATGCCATCCTGGTCGGATTCTGGCGGAGAGCCCGGAGTGCCTGCTGAGGACTAGTGGACAGAGTTTCAAGAAAACGTGCTGTGGTTTTAGCTGCAGAGGTCTTTGATGGTTTCTTACTTACACATACAGCTCTGGGGAAATCCAATTCAAAATGCCTGTATTTGTGGTTAGTTCTTAGTCTTGTGTTAGAGGAAACAGATAATGAGAGAAGATGACAGAGCTGAGGCGAGAAGAACAATTTTGGACTTACACTATTAAAACAGGAAATCTTGACTCAAGCACTTACCATCTTTAATTATCACTGTAATTATCTACATTACATTTATATAATAATTACAATTTTGACTCAATGCATGTGTTAGTTGGAAAAATAATTTAATTTGTATTGCCCTTAAAGCAAAATTCTACTGACTTGTTTTTAACATATCAATGTTAGAGAATTTTTTTTTTTTTACCTAAAATTGTGCTTTTAATCAAACTTACTCAAATTATGACCCAGTTAGTCACTTGCAACCCTCTTTTTGTTGTGGATGGGGGTCTGTTCTTAAAACTTTCTCATTGAGAACATTGAACATTAGAGTATCTTTGTTTAGACTGACTTCATCTAAGTGGCCAGAAGGGCCTGGCAAGTTGACGTAGCTGTGTAAGGTGGGTGTGCTGCCCGGGGCTGGAGAGTGTTGGCCTGGTGTTGCTGTTGGTAGCAGGGAGTAAGTTCCTTAGAGAACCTTAGGGTTCCTTAGGGACCAAGGCTGAGGCTTGCTCCCTCTTGGAAGTATACTCAGACATGGGCTACTGTAATGACAAAGTGAATAAATGCAATTCTTGCTCATAAACGTGGAAGCTGCCAGGCTGATGAGACGGCTCAGTGGGTGAAGTGCTTACTGCACACCAACAAAGACTCGAGTTTAGATCCCCAGTGCCTACAGAAGAGCACCAGCATGTCAGCACATCTGTAACCCTGGCACCGGGGTGCAGAGAAAGGCCAATCCCCAGAATGTGCTGGCGTGGCAGTCTGGTGGGCTCTGGGCGTGGAGAGAGACCTGTCTCAAAAACTAAAATGGAGAGCAGCAGAGGAAGACACCTGATGCCAACTTCTGGCTGTCTGACGCACACGCAACTTGCACACAGCATACACGCATGCACGCGTGCACGTGTGCACACACTCACGCACAATTGAAAAATTTAAAAAGGAAGTTGCCTTGTAGTTGAACTGGCAGCATCAGTGGTGTGTGAGATCCAGTGTTCTGCAGAGATACCTTCTGCAGAAGGTCAGTGATGGAGGCCTGGCTGTAGTAATAGCCAGTCCGTGTGCAGCGGTGCTTACGATAGCATGCTGTAGCGCGTGGAAATGAGTTCAGTGCAGCCAACCATGGGAATGGACAGCAGAGGGGAGCCACGGGCGTTGTCAGCTGGCCTGGAATGACTGCTGTTGGTTTAGACACTGTGCCTTAGAGTGCAGGATTTTGGAGAAAGTATAGCAGCCTCTTTGAAACCCCGTGTGACTATCTGGGGTCTGGTGGTATTTACGTTTGCCCGGTTAGTTGATGGCATCCGTGTTCTAGGTAAAGAAAACATGGCTTCTGGCAGCTTTGGCTCTGTCTTGCTGAGCGAGAGGAGATGCCCACTACGCTTTTATTTTATTTCTATTTCTAGCTGCCCTGTGATCCCCTCACACTGCCCGCTCTCTTCCTCTCTGCTTCCCCCAAAGCCTCCCCTACTCCCTCCCCAGACAACTCTGTGCTTTTGCCAGTAACATCCTCATTTGTTAAAATGTGCTTCAGTCTCACCTGCTAACCTGTGCTCTCATCTCTCAGGAATCTCCCCTCACTCCTTGTCCCTTCTGAGCTCAGGGTGTCTGCCGCGCACTGCTGCTGTGTTAGAGCTGCTGACTGGCTCTCCTCAAAGGCGGGATGTGAGCATGTCTGCTCCCCTGTTGCCCAGCAGGATGTGTGTTCAGTGCTTAAACAGATGCCCTTTCCTGCTTGGGCCTGAACTGGGACAGCAGGTTATCCTAACAGCCTGCCAGCTAGTAGATAAAGAAATACTTGGAAAGTATCCGATGCCTGCTATACGTAATGGCAGCAGTTGTTAATGTACACTGATGTTGGGTGGGGTGGTCTCTGGAAAGAATCACGCATAAAAAAGTCATAATGGGCTCTGGTTGCGTGAAACCTGGCGCCACCCTTACGTGCTGGCCGTGGAGATGGATGAGAAGCTTTGAGCTAACGTGCACTGATGGGTTAGAATTGAAACTGAATTTGGATATGGGCTTCCTTTGTGAACTTGATCATGTAAGTTTATCGTTTTCTAGTTCCCAGCAGTGAGGCATTAATACCAAGCAGTTGTTTCTGAGTCACTGAGTGCACCAGCCTTGGAGGGCAGTGTGTGGTCAGAAGAATATCGGGATACGGCCTTCTGAAGGGAATGTGTGTCACCCGGCACAGCTTCAGCTGCCCACACATTCTCATCTGCCAGCTGAGTTCACTCCTTGCGTTTTGAACAGGAGAGTTGCCTGCATGCTTTTCTATGTAGAGTTGCGCCTTTGTTAAACATGAACAAGGTAGATAAGAAAAAAAAAAAAGAAAAAGATTTTTCTAAGGATAATGCTTGTTTGAA